TCCCTTGCCAGCGCCCCTTCCACAGCTGCGGGGAGCCAGGTGGAGACAGTCGCTGTGAGAGGGACGTGCGGTCCCCGAGCACCTCCCAGCCCCTCGCGCAGGGCTGTGGGGCCCACGGAGCCCGTGGGGCCCACGGAGCCCATGGGACCGACAGGTCCACAGCAATGTGGAGCGACTATGGCAAAGCATGAGCGAGCCCTGGCCTTTCAGTCCCGGGCAGGTGCCCCTCTCTGCGTGGGATGGCCCCATGCCTGGACGGGGAAACCCACTGAGCAGTTGTGCCCCAGTCCTGCATCCCGCAGCCAGCCCGGGGCTGGGCAGACAGCAGTGGTGGCATGGCGGCAGCTACCCTGTCCCGGGGGGCAACAGGCCTACGTACCTCTCCTGACTGGTTCTCATTGAGTTTTTGGCTCAAGCTCAGCTGTTTAAAGTCTATTCCAGCAAGTTTGTTGAGAGTCCCATTTCCTGCAAGAAAAGAAGGAGATGCAGCCTGTGGCTGCACGGACCTTCCTCCTGACACCCACCTGGGACCACAGAGGGAGGCAGCACCAGTGGGTGCCTCACGCCCATGAGGAACCACCTTCAGTGAGGGAATTTCCATCTCCCAAACGAGCCGTTTGCAGTGCGGACTGACCCCCCGTCCCCGGCAGCCTGCCCCACCGCTCAGGAGCTGTGCTCTCCCCTGCAACGGCATCCCCATGGGAGAAGGCTCTGTCCTTACTGGGACGCGTGCGGGTCGTGCCCTTCCAGAAGGTATCCTTGTAGGGGATCTTGGTGAGGCTCTGGCCCAGCTTCTCCGCACGCTCTGGAGAGGGAGAAGGAGTTTGGCAGCACAAGCAGAGACCTCGCTGATGCTGAGCGCATCTGCAGCAGGAGCCAGAGGCAGGCTGTGGGTCAGGATGAGAACCTCCTACCTTTCAAGACCTCTCGCAGGGGTGTCTTGGCTTTGTCAATGGGCGTCTCACCGTATTTGTTAGCAATGCTGACCAAGGCCCCGTTGCCCACAAGGTCCTGAGGGAGGAGAAAGTGAGTATCTTCAGTTTACTGACCTCTTCTCAGCTTCTTCACTCACACCCAGACTACTGCCTTGTCCCTCCTCTCCCTCCCCGGGTCCCCCTCCGCCCCCTCCCTCACCCTGGGCTCCCATCTGTGTCCAAGTGCTTCCGCTCACCTCCGCCACCTGGTCATGGCCCCAGAAGCAGGCGTAGTGCAGAGGCGTGTTCCCATGCTCGTTCACGGCATTGATGTCTGCTTTGAACTGGATCAGCTGGGGGCAGGAGGACAATCCCTGTAAATCTAGAGCAGGTCCCCCACCCCCAGCACCTTGCCCTGGTGCTGGCATGGTCTGCTGCTGGGAGGGGGCCGAGGCTGGACACAGGACTTCCGTAGGGAAGGAGGAGGTGCACAGAGGCACCGCGGTGGGGATGCAGTAGGCTGACGGCAAGGAAGCCAGCGCGTGACAGTGGGAGCGAGTCCTGGGTGGACAGGACAGAGGGCTGCGCAGGGTCCCGCTTGGCAGTTTGCCACGGGGCTGTACAAGGCACGGGTGGTGGGGAAGGGGCAGGGTGCTGCTGGCCACGGGAGGCTGGTACCTTCTGCACGATGTCACGGTGGCCGTGGCTGGCAGCCAGGTGCAGCGGGGTGTCATCACCGCGGTTCATGACGTTGATGCGCGCTCCCCGCATGATGAGCATGTCAACCACGTTGGAGCGGCCCTCGCGGCAGGCCCAGTGCAAGGGGCTGAAGCCGTGGTCATCCCTGTGGAGACAGCAAGGACAGCTCTGCTGAGCGGCTGCAGCCCACCCGCTGCGTCCTCCCTCAGCCCGGGCAGGGAGAGAAGGGCCAAGTGCAGCCGGGGCACTGCTGGCAGCACTCTAGCTGGGCAGGTATTGCCCTGTGTGCCCACACACGGGCCGTGGAGGCGAAGGGGACAGGCTGAGCAGCTCTCTCGCTTTCTCCCATCCCCACCAGGGCCCCGGAGGCCCTGGCCAAATCCCATCTTCTCCAGGGCTGAATCACAGAGATGCTGGCAAGAGCTGGATCCCCTCCCCCCCCCCCCTCGGCTCGGCAGTTCCTGGCCAAGTAAGGGAGGAGGAGACCAGCCAGGCCTTAAAAGGAGACTAGGGCCCAGCAGGCAGGGGCCACAGCATCCGCAGCTCCCCCCCAGCTCCCCGGCACAGCAGACCCCATCTGCCCCTGCAGGCAGGGGCACCCCGGCACAGGCACCCGGGACCAAAATGCCCCAGCGAGTGCCAGCCGGCCCCCAGTCCCTCAGGCATGACTCATGGGACTGGGACTCCCAGGAGGGACTGAAAGACATGGCCAAGGGCAGACCTCTCATCCAGAACGAGTTCAGCAAAGGGTGCCATGGCCTGAGACGGGATCTTTGGCGTGCAGGCACAAGGCTGCGCCTGCCCACAGGCAGTGGAGGTGTCTGCTCTAAACCCTGAGCCTAGGCTGAACGCCGCTCCTGGAAGGCGGGCACATGGCACGTCGGACGTCACGGTCCCGTGGGAGCTGCCGGAGCAGGGGACGTGCTGTGGGGAGGAGATCTGGGGCTGGGCGCGGGTCGGCCCTACGCAGCTCCTGGCCCCGGGGTGGTCCCCAGCCCTCCTGTTAGACCCCAGCTGTGCTCCCACAGGGCTGCTGCAGTGCTCCCAGGAGAGGGGACAGCATGACCCGGACACACACCAGCCCCCCTGGGGATGGGGAGATTCTCCCCAGCACCTCCAGCCCAACCCCTGGCCGAGACGTGTCCCATCCGCGGTCGGGAGCAGCGGTGGCCAAGGAAGCGGGTG